GCTATCAACCTAGTGATACAAAATCTTAAGAGGCTGTTTAGGAGGTAACTGTCCAAAGTGGTGGATATTGTTTTTATTTTTATGACCTCTTTCTAGAGACTATCTTATGGGCTGTTGACTAATTCAACCTTTTTAAAAAATTGGATTATAATTGACATACAATATTATGTTAGTTTCAGATGTACAAGATAACAATTTAGTATTTTTATATATTTTAAAATGATCACCATGATAGGTCTAGTTACCATCTGTCACCATACAAAGTTGTTACAATATTATTGACCATATCCCTATGCTGTACATTACATCTCCATGACTTATTTTATAACTGGAAGTTTGTACCTCCTAATCACCTTCACGTGTTTAACCCCACCCCCACCAATTCTCCATATCTATGATCTGTTTTTATTCTGTTTGTAAATTTGTTTTGTTTTTTAGATTCCACATATAAGTGAAATTATATTGTATTTGTCTTTGTCTGGCTTATTTACTATAGGTCCTCCTGTGTTATCACAAATGGCAAGATTTCATTCTTTTTTATAGCTAAATGATATTCCACTTTGTAGATCACATTTTGTCCATTTATCTATCAATGGGCACTTGAGTTGCTTCCATATCTTGCCTATTGTAAATAATGCTGCATTGAACATTGGGATACATAGTATCTTTTCGAATTAGTGCTTTGGTTTTCTTAGATAAATACCCAGAAGTGGAGCTGCTGGACCGTATGGTAGCTGTATTTTAATTTTTTGTGGACCCTCTGTACTGTTCTCCACAGGAGGCTGCACCTATTTATTTGCCCACCAAGAGTACACAAGGGTTTCCTTTTCTCCACATTCTTGCCAACGCTTGTTATTTCTTGTCTTTTTGATACTAGCTGTTCTGACTGGTTTGAGGTAGTATTTCATTGCTGTTTTGAGATGCATTTCCCTGATAATTGTGATAGGGAGCATCTTTTCACGTGCCAGTGTGTGTGTGTGTGTGTGTGTGTCTTCTTTGGAAAAAATGTCTACTCAGGTCTTCTGCCCATTTTTAAATCAGGTTGTTGAGGTTTTTGTTACTGAGTTGTACCACTTCTTCATATATTTTGGGTAGCAACCATTCCAAATATCTCCTCCCATTCAGTAGGTTGCTTTTTCATTGTGTTGATGGTTTCCTTTGCTGTGCAAAAACTCTTTGTTTGATATAGTTCCATTTGTTTTTGCTTTTGTTTCCTTTGTCTGAGGAGACCTATCAAAAAAACATTTCTGAGAATTATGTCCCAGGGTTCACTGCCTATTTTTTCTAGGAGTTTTATGGTTTCATCTCTTAAGTCTTGAGTGCATTCTGAGTTAATTTTTTGGTATGGTGGAAGATAGTGGTCCAGTTTTATTCCTTTGCATGTGACTGTGCAGCTTTCCCAACACAACTGATCAAAGAAACTGTCTTTACTCCTTTGTATGTTCTTGTCTCTTTGTTGTAGATTGAATGACCGTTTAAGGGTGGGTTTATTTCTGGCCTCTCTTCTGTTCCATTGACCTATTTGTTTTTTTCTATCAGTACCATACTGTTCTGATTACTGTAGCTTTGGAGTATAGTTTGAAATCAGGATCATGTTACCTCCAACTTTGTTCTTCTTTCTTCTTTCTCAAAATTGCTCTGGCTGTTTGGGGTCTTCTGTGGTTACATACAAATTTTAGGATTATTTGTTGTAGGTCTGAGAAAAATGCCATTGGTATTTTGATAGGGATTGCATTGAAATCTGTAGACTGTTTTGAAAATAGTATGGACACTAACAATTCTTCCAGTCCATGCTCGTGGTTATCTTTCCATTTGTTTGTGTTGTCTTCAATTTCTTCCATCAGTATCTTAGAGTTTTCAGAGTACAGATCTTTTACCACCTTAGTTAAATTTATCCCTAGGTATTTTATTCTTTTTGATGCAATTATAAATAGGATGACTTTCTTAAAATTTTTTCTGATAGTTCATTATTAGTGAAGAGAAACACAACAGATTTCAAATTGTTGTTTTGTTTCTCTTCATTTCAATTGTTTCAAAATTGTTAACTCTGTGTCCTGCAACTTTACTGAATTTATGTTCCATGAAAAGAATGGGCATTCTGCTGGTTTGGGATGGAGCATTCTGTAGTCTGTCTCACCAGAACTGGTCCAGTGCAGCAATATGATCTAAGCATTTCTGTTCAGCATTCCATTGATCATGTATTCCCAATTTGTACTTATATAAAATATTTGCAGATTACACATATATGCTATTAATAGCATATTATACTCCCTAAAATATATAAAAAATAGAAAATTGGATTTTACATTTAACTTTTCTAATCCTCATTTTTGTAATTTACCTATTTAAAATCATAGTTATGCTGCCATCATCTCAATCAGTTTTAGAACGTTTTCATCACCTCAAAAAACAACTCTGTTCCCCTTAACCATCATCCATTAATACCCTGCACCCATTAATACGCATTAATACCCTTCTCCCGCAGCCCTAGGCAACGACTAATCTATTTTCTGTTTGTATGGATTGTTCCGTTTTGGATATTTTATGCAAACACAGTCATACAATATGTGGACACACATTTGTAACTGGCTTTTTTCACTTAGCGTCATGTTCATCAGGGTTCATCCCTGTTGCAGTATGTATTAATAATATCTTAGTTTTAATATAAAAATATTTAACTTTAACCACGAGGAACACTTGGTTCTCCAGGAAAAAATGTTCCTTCTTTTTCTATGTATGTCCACTTTCCTTCCTACCTATCCCAAGCATACCATTCACATACCCTCTAGAATACACACATCTCAGTCTTATATTCACAGATACATTCCCAGAATTGGGTGATAATACTGCCTCTTAAAAAGTCTCCACATGCGGGGCGCCTGGGTGGCTCAGATGGTTAAGCGTCTGCCTTCGGCTCAGGTCATGATCCCAGGGTCCTGGGATCGAGTCCCACATCGGGCTCCCTGCTCCTTGGGAGCCTGCTTCTCTCTCTCTCTCTCTCCCTCTCTGTCTCTCATGAATAAATAAATAAAATCTTTAAAAAAAAAAAAAAAGTCTCCACATGGGGAAAAAAAAAAAAAAGTCTCCCCATGCCTTTAAAAAAGGTTTCAGGAAAAAGTGCTCTCAATTTAAAGCAAGCCAGCCCCAGGATCTCATATCCTGCCTATCTTACTGTCAACAGGGATGGGTGAGGGGGAGGCAAGGAGAGGCCCTATGGAGAGGAGGACTGGCCTGGCTCTTTCTGTGCCATGTAGGCATTTAGCTTTCTTCAGAGGCTTCCCAGAACAGGCCCCTTAGCTGATACCAGAAAGGATGGATTCTCTCGTAGAAAAGTGACACCAGTTATAGTCATTTAAGCAAATCTTTTGCTAGTTATGTCAATTAGCATGCAAAAATAAGATTACCTATGATATTAGATAATATTAGATATGCTTCACTTGAGTTCCATACTTTTTACTACACATTACACAATAAATCTACATTTGCATCCACTTAATCATCTTGGCCCACCTCTTGGACAGCCTTTTGGGGAGAGGGAGCTGGTCTTGTTCATCTCTGTATTCCTTTTTCCTTGGCTAGCCCATCACTGGCCCTAAGTAAACGCTTACCATATTGAATTTCAGGTTGTTGCTTAAACGTTAAAATTTATATAAACCAATTGTGTTCATATTCTCCAAACTTATAGCTGATGAGTGGTAAGATACTCATTAGTTAAACATGTCAGTGAGTAATTTACTGAAAGAGGTATGACTGACTAATGTTTGGGTTTGCGTAGGGCAAGTACAGAGGGTTTGGAGTTGTGTGCTGGTTGTATCTCCATAGTTAAGAGTTTGAAGGATGTGGTCTTACTGTCTCATTCCTAAGTCTTTAAATTTAATAAGAAAAATAGGAATCACTTTCAATTAACAGACATTAAAATACTTTTCCAGAAAATCTTCTATACAACCATTTTTATAGCTTAATAGTTTTGTAAGTTCCAGGGTTAAGCTTTATCTTTTTGTTTTGGTTTGTTTTCAAGTATTAAGTGTTTTGGCAGTCTTTATATCCTAGATCATATTTTATGTATATCATTGATTCCTTTTGACAGTTGAGCATTTTAATATAAGCCGCAAAGGTATTTAAAATTGGTAGGGAGTATTAGATTTCTATTTGTATATAATTTATTGACTGAGTGATTGATTGTGAGAGAGAGACTGCATGAGTGGTGGGAAGGGGCAGAAGGAGAGGAAGACAGAGAATCCCAAGCAGGCTCCACGCTCAGTGCAGAGCCCAAAGCAGGGCTTGATCCCAGGACCCTGAGATCTTCACCTGAGCCAAAATGAAGAGTCAGATAGTTGACTGAGCCACCGATGCACCCCTATTTGTATATAATTTAAAAATACACAGGTCTGATAAGCATTTATTTCTAACTCTGGGTAAAGTGCTTTTGACTCGGGTTCTCATTATCAGCCTAATAATAATGATGATAATGCAGACAATAACAGCTTTTTATTACATGGTTTTATCATTAAGTGTCATAGTCTCAAAGGTATTGTTTCCTCCTGCCTTTTATTTTTTTTAATAGGATAGGAAAGGAAGGCTCACAGAAGTCACTTACTTTCACTTAATATACAGGCCAAGTAGCTACAGAGACAAATCTGAACCTAAGTTTTATGATTGCAAGTGGAGAAATCTTTCTCTGTAGCATGCTGCATCTGTTATTTATTCACTACTTATAGTTCAGATGTTTCAGAAGAAGTAGAAATAATTTCTGTACTCAGTTTTTTCTACTGAATCAGAGACCATTGAAAGTAATAAAAACTGACATCTGCTTATTGAATTAGTAAAAACTCCATGATGTAGTGCAATAAAGTAGAATACAGAAATGCAAATCCATAAGTTGTCTGAAAATTGAATGTAATGCTTTCATTGAATGTTGTAATTATTTATTTGAATTCATTATTAAAAGTTAAAAAGAAATTTAAAAACATTAATGTATGTGTAATTTTTTTCTTTCCCAGACAGATAGTGATTATGTACACAGCGTTGTAGCCAACCTGGAGAAAGAGTAAGTTCTTAATTATGAAAATGATAATATTTTAGTCACTGTTACTACTGGCTTTTTGCTAAAAGAAAATGCCTTTTTTTTTTAGTTCATTTCTCTGTGGAGCTTAGTCTTCATTGGGTCACTATCATTGGTCTTTTACCTTGTCATAAAGTAGGTGCATATATGGTTTTCTGGATAAATTGGTGTATTTCAATATAGAAAAGATTTGAATGTCACACATATGTAACTGTCAAATAAATTATTGATCTTGAAGACCATAGAGAGGGTCGTATGAGATTACTTATGTCTTTCACCCTCAGTCAACCAAGAAAAAAACTTTCTGCTGTCAGGATAGGTAGTCTTGTAGTTGTTTGAAACCTCAGTGCTAGACTATGGCTAAATCGGTTCTATTCTGCAAAGATTGAGTAACAATTTACTGTGAGCAAGGCACACAGTAAGTGTGGAAAGCTGAGTAAGTGGAAAGCTTAGTAAGTTTCAGATATGATTAGTTTTTATAATACTGCCTTCATAGTTTTAATATTAAGTGCTATAAAAACTAGTCATTAATAAGGGTTTCTTCATTGACTTTTACCTGTTTTGCCCCAAAGATGTATCTTTTACTTAAAAAGACCGAAAGAAGCAACAATTATTGGTCAACTCTAGATTTAAAATAATGTGGTTCTTACTTTGTCTATCAAAATGCAAAAACCAGAAATTTAAAAAAATATATGAAGAGTTCAGAACTAAATTGTGCATTTGTTCGTTTTTTTTTTTTCCTCAAGTGCTCAATTTCTTGGCAGCCCTTTATATATAAGCACAATTTAGTATAGATTCCTCAAATACAGGAGCAGGGCAGTAATTATTGGCCCCTGCTCCCCTAGACTGCATGGGCAGGTCTGTGGGGCTTATGTTGTGATTTTGTCGATTCTCTTCTTCCTCAACGTGTAGGAACACCAAGCCCAGAAAAAGTCCAACTAAGCATGAACAACATTTGTGTGAAGGCAGGTAGTTGCACAAGGATTTTGTGGAGATTTCAAAAACTAAGTGAGGGAGAATGCAAATGTGGAAGGAAGTACGTTTGAGTTAGTCAAGCTGATTACAAAAACTTTATAACAGGTTTTCTCAACCTTGGCACTATTGACATTTGAGGCTAGATAATTCTTTGTTGTGAGGACCGCTCCCTGCGTTGTAGGAGAGAGAGCAACCTCCCTGGTGTCTTCCCACTAAGGTCATTAGTACTGCCAACAGTTAGGACAACCAGATTCCTCCAGACATTGCTCAAAGTATGAGATAGACACACACATTCACTGGCTTGTTTTTCTTCAATTCTCTATTTTCTGTGATACCTTCATTTACTTTTTTAAAATTCTGATACTTTTTAGGAATATAATCCGTGCAGTTGGCTTAGGATTTCTATGCTTCTCTAAGGATAGTAGCATTTTTTACACTGCTTTTAAAGCATTCTTAAAAAAAACAAAAACAAAAAACACCCTTTGTGTTACTGGAAAAATTTGTATTTTCTGGCAAATAAAATCAATGATGAGCGACTTCCATGAGCACACAGTGATCCTAACAGTATGCCTTACTGATGTGTTTTATGTTAAGAACAATAAGTTGAGCACTGAGATAAAGAGAATCCCACAGAACTTAAATTAACTCAGCTAACCTTTCTTATGGTAGATTTTCTAAAGAAATCAGTTCTGGCTTGGTGGAAATAATATCCCCGCCTGAAAGCTATTATCCTGACCTGACAAACTTAAAGGAGACATTTGGAGACTCCAAAGAAAGAGTAAGGTGAGCCTGTGTTGTTTAAGACCACCCACCCTTGTGAGTATGATATGTAGCAAATGTTTAGCATGTAATAAGTATTTACTGAAATGTAGCACATTTGAGGGTTTAGCTAATTTGTGAGAGCTAATGAATTTTTGGTTATTTGATTGGAAATTATGTGCAGTTTCTAATGAGAGGTTGAATTTGGTATGCACAATAACTTTTTAAAGATTTTATTTTAGAGAGAGAGCACACACAAGCAGGGGGAGTGGTAGAGGGAGAGGGAGAGGGAGAAGCAGGCTCCCCACTGAGCAGGGAGACCAATGCAGGGGCTCAATCCCAGGACCCCAGGATCGTGACCTGAGCTGAAGGCAGACATTTAACCACTGAGCCACCCAGGCACCCCGATCAATAACTTTTATAACTGCTGTTCTGTGGGGTTCTGACTTAAGAATATAGTCATAATAATTCAAAAGCTAGTTCAGATAGAAACCTCATATCTGTATGCAAAGTAAATGAGAACTGATTCAGTGGAAGTGATAACAATATTACTGTTTTGCAGATTTATATCGTAATAATGTAAAAATCCAGTTGGGATTTATTTGTCTCTAAATCTCTAAAATTGAAGGACTGGAAAACTTTTATTGTGTTGTTATTAAAAACAATGTAATCTAAGAGATATTCATTAGTTTTGGATTTTATGTCACAAGAAAAAAGGAAAAAATAGTGTTTTGGGAAGAGATTATATTTCTTGAGTTGTTAATTTGTCTGAAAGACAGATATATCCATGTAATTGGTTGTCTCTCAATAAATATAATTTTAGTTTTAAAAAATTTAGGAATGGTTCCAGTAAATTCTAGGTGGACTCATTAAATTCAGAACAACTTATAAGGTATATTCTGGAGAAGTTTACTTAGTATGATTTAAACCTTTTATTGTTGTTGTTGTTTTTAAAAACTATTACAACCACTTCTCTTATTCAACATTAGTCTGTTTCTATAGGCTACCAGGAATTCCCTGAAAGGACTTAATATTGTAAACTTTAATGTGTTTTGGGTTTTTTAAGCATTCAGTACAATATTTATTAATTTCTGCCTTCATGCAAAGCAGTGACCCCCAAAGTATAGTTTTTGGAGCACAATTTCCCGGAGACATTAAGATGTTACATTTGAAAAAAGGGCCTTCAGTCAAAGGAGTTTGGAAAATATTAGACTAAAAAGTTTTTTATTCAACAAATGCATTTACTGTTGTATGTTTCAGTGCCTCTAATATACGAATATGTCTCCAGAAGGGGAATATATGTGCTTCCCAAAATTACTTGAAGGACTCCTTTTTTCCTCAGGACATCTTGATGATTAGTGTTTTGATAAAGGTTTCATTAGAGAAAAGTGAATTCTCTTTCGTGCTCTCCTACATGGGTGTATCCTGTGTTTATGTATATAGATACACATGTATCTATGGGTTGACAGATATTTTGTATATATGTATTGTCTACGGTGTATATGTAATGTATGTATATGTATTATAAAATATAACTTGCAGTATGCATTATAAAATATTTACATTTAATCTTGTTTTGCTCAATTTGAGTCTGATTCCTAACTCATTTTTGAAAATTATTTCAGATGGAGAACAAAGCAAAACCTAGATTATTGTTTTCTAATGATGTATGCTCAGGAAAAGGGAATATATTACATTCAGGTAAGTGTGGTTTGTCCTTTAATGTTTTTTCACACTTTTAAGGAAAAAGTAGTATCCAGAGTATATGTTCATTAAAACAGGAAGTTTTGAAAGTGTAAGCCCTCTAAGATATATACAGTATATCAGAGAGCAGAAGAGTCTGTCATAGTCCCTGGTAATGTGGGCTCTGCTCTTCCATTCTCTGGTTTAGCACAAACACTAGATTTCCACTCAATGGTGTGACAGTGGGCAGGTCACTCGTCTCTTTCCTCTTCTCCCATCCCTCCATCTTTGCTCTCATTCTCCCTCTCTCCACTGTTAAAAAGAACTAAGGCTTAATTACTTGGCAAATTTTAAAGAAGGATTTTCTGATAGTTTTTTGGGTGGTCTTACAGTAAGATAGTTGTTGTTTTTTTTTTTTAATGCTATAGTACATGTACATTTATACTGAAGATAATAAAACTGACGTTTAGCTCTAATGGCCCAGCTTTTAGCAGCATGGCTCAAAGAATAAGTCTGTAATGATGTGGCTTTTAAGTTAGCCAGGTAGGCAACAACTTAAATAATTGTAGGAGGCTCTTATTTCTTCCAAATCTCATTCTCCTTAGTGACTTAAGCTTAAATTTTACAATTGGAATTTCATTTCTTTAACCAAAGGTCTTTATTCCTTGTTCAAAATGCACATACCACTGAGTGATGTAGCACACTGAGCCTGTCAGTTGTTTATTTATTTATTTATTAGTATAAAAAGTTTATTAGATCTTTCCCTGGAAGGGGTTTTGATGAGAGTGGCAAGAAGAGCCTCTGGGTCCCTGAATCAGAAAGGAAATAAATGGTTTTACAGCTGCTAGGAGGGGTTTGAGAGGGAAGGAAAGAAGGAGAAGCTTGCTATCCCCTGGGAGGGCAGTCTCACTGAGCACAGACTTTGTCTCCTTTGACATTTTATCTTGGGCCACCTGCATTCAAAGGTGCAGGCACCCTTTTGTGGTTCTCAGGTTGAGAAATGTTAATGATGATAGGGTCAGAATATAACATTGTATATAACAGTGTACAAGAGTTGGGAGCATAAAAACATGGTATCCTTTAATTAGTACATTTCCTTTAAATGTCTTAGAGAAGTCTTACTTAGATTTCAAGATAATAGCTTCAAAACATTTTATCTCATGTGTCCCATATTATCGTAGCTGTACCTTTGCTGTTTGTTCTAGGGCCTCTATATATTTACACGATGGTCAAGAACTTTATAGAGAGAATTTAAAAGTGTAGTCACATTGCTTTTAAAATTTGTTTTAAATTTCTCTCTAAGCATAGAATTAATAGAATCTTAAAGCACTTTTTGTGTGTGTGGATTATAGGAAACATAAGGGTTTAGAAAATTAAGGAAAGGATGGGGTTAAGAAAGAGGTTGGAGGGGGCGCCTGGGTGGCTCAGTTGATTAAGCGTCTGCCTTCCATCGGTGCAGGTCGTGATGCCAGGGTCCTGGGATTGAGTCCTTGCTCAGCAGGGAGTCTGCTTCTCCCCTGCCTGCCACTCCCCCTGCTTGTGCTTGCTCTCCCACTCTCTCTTAAAATCTTAAAAAAAAAAAGGATGAATATAACTTCAGTTAAGCAGGGTGTGTGTATGTGGTGTTATAACCACAGTAGCTATGAACTGACACTTACCACACACTTAACATATGTTGTACATTGTTCTTTCCAACTTAGGCTTTACACATACTTACTCATTTAATACAGCTTTTTGCAAGAACAAGATCATACTGTCCGTACTGTCTCATAGCCTGTTTTACTGTCATTTCACATATGGTAGACACCTTTACAAGCCAGTAATTACAGGTAGGAATACTTTTTAATCACTTATTGAACTATCATTATTCAGATATCATAATGACCTTATTGTTGGTCATTGAGATTGTTCCCAACTTTTCACTTGTGTCACAGATGAATCCAATGAACATCCCTAAAATTACCCAATTTTCTCAAAAATTATGCCTCTGAAAAGAGGGAGTTGCTTCATATTGAAGTCTTCACATAATTTCATATTATATAGAATTCTCTCATTGAGTTCATTATGATCTACAAAGTGGGAAGAATGCATTAGCCTGAAAAGTCCTCAGCTTAATATCGATTTTGAATGTTTGTGAAGGATAGAGATCACCCAGCAAAATGAGGGGAGAATTAGTGTGAAGAAGCAAAGGGATTTAATACAGACTTGATAATTATGCGAGGCGTGTGACTTCGTGGTTGCACATGCTGGGGGTATCCTACCCAGGACTTTGGGAGAGTGCTTTTAAAAAGGCAGCTGAGTCAGAGGTTACTCTCTGGTCAGCACAGGCATAGCCCTAAAGGAGGGGAAAAAAAAAAAAAAAAAAAAAAAGCCACCTGTCCTAGTGTTACATTTATGGCTTGGAATGAAGTTTCCTGTGACAGAATCTCACACTTCCATAAAGTGCTATATCACTGCTGACTTGGAACTGAAGTGTCTTCTGGAATGCTGTTGGGTGATTCAGGCACTTCCTGGGTGGCACTGTGTAATTCCTACCAAATCGCATCACAAGGCCCATTATATCTGGTTGCCCCACTTACAGTGATGCCAACATTAATCAGTGGGCTTGGTGGTGTCAGCCCCATCTGTCCTTTATAAAGCTCCCCAGCAGCCACTCCCCCTGTGATTTCCGAAATCATCGATTATTGTTCCCCAGATAAGTTATTTCCTTAGAGGTGGCCAAGTGACCATTTTCTAATTCTGTAATTTGTAACGTTCTTATAAGCTGAGTTCTTGTGTAAAGAACTTTCGCTCCTCTCTATTTGATTACCTTAAAAAACAGTTCACCAAGGAAAGGCAGAATAAATGCCTATTCTTTCTCTTCATTAATTTTTAAAGTTGGTACCCTAGAAGTCTCCAGTGATGGCCATTTAAAAAACATTGTTATGAACTCAAGGACTTTAAAAATATATTCGATTTGCCTTAGTCCTTGCAGTCATTATTCACATTGATGCTCACATTGGTACATCATAAACCAGTGGGAATCTCTTCAAATTGGCTCTTGTGGGGTACCTGGGTGGCTCAGTCGGTTAAGCATCTGCCTTCAGCTCAGGTCATGATCCCAGGGTCCTGGGATTGAGCCCCTGTATCGGGTTCCTAACTCAGTGGGGAGCCTGCTTCTCCCACTCCCTCCGCCTGCCACTCCCCCTGCTAGTGCTTTGTCTCTCTCACTCTCTCTCTCTCTCAAATAAATAACATCTTTAAAAAAAAAAACTGGTTCTTGTATTCCTTCCATGACAGTCCAGTAATCTTTGATCACTACTTTGCTGACTGGCACAAGATTTGCACATTTCCTGTTCCAGATCTAGAATCAGTCATTTCTGTAAGGAGTCCTGTTGTGTTTGGAGGCAAATAGTATTTAAGACCACAATCTGGGTGCGTGAGATGCTCATTGCTCTTATGGTGTCTTTGTTTCTTGGGCTTATTTCTCAGGGAGGAAAACTACAAGCTCATATTGATATTCCCAAATCAAATGAAGATTTTAGGGCTTGGTTCTTAAAAACATTATCCTTTTAACATAATTCTTTTATTCTACAGTATGTCTGAAATAGTTTCAGAATAATAATACCGTTATCACTACTAACTGTTAAACTGCTGAATGCTATTTAAATTTTCTTTGTCCTTTTTTTCCCCCCTTAGAATATATCCTACTATGGATATATAGTCAAAATTCTGTGTTTGAAAGCCACTGGAAGAAATTCTTTATACTGTGTGACCATGCCGCCAAATTGATATGAAACTTGGTTTAATTGTTTCATTTCATATCCAGTTTTTAGGACTTTTTATCCTTTTTAGTTATTAAAAAAATTTCAAAATCAAAACCTTACATAAAATAAGATAGACAGAAATCTCACTTTTATTCACATTCCCATCCTGTTTTCTCCCTTCCCCATGGGTAACCACCATTGGTTTTTTCTTTCTTTTTTTAAGATTTTATTTATTTGAGAGAGTGAGAGCGTGAGCCTGGGGTGGGGGGTGTGCAGCAGGAGGATAAGGAGAAGCAGACTCCCCGTTGAGCAGGGAGCCCAATGCAGGGCTCAATCCCAGGACCCCGAGATCATGACCTGAGCCGAAGGCAGATGCTTAACTGACTGAGCCACCCAGGCACCCCTAGTTTTTTACTTCTTTTTGTACTTCAAAAAAATTTAAGCAAAAAAATATATAAAGTATTTCATGTATAATATTCCAAGATATAATATTCATTTTCTGATAGCACATTTACATACTGTAAAAACAGTATTTTGCATCTTGTTTTTTAGCTTCCCTCTGTAAACTAGTGATCACTAGTGAGAGGTAAGAGTTGTTAAAGACCGGCTCTTGCCATGACAAAATACCTATGTCAGAGAAACACATATGCTCCCTAAAAAAAACCTGTACACGAGGGTTCCTATCTTTATTCGTGCTAGCCAAAATCTGGAAACAAGCCAGATGTTCTTCAGCAGGTGACACACTCTACCATGGAATATGGAATAATGAAAAGAAACAAACTATTGATGCACACCACATCTTGGATCTTAGGGACTATGGGGACTTTAAAATCCAATCTTGAAAGGTTATGTACTGTTTGATTCCATTTATATGGCATTTTTGAAATGACGAAATTGTAGAAATGAGAACAGACTGTTGGTTACCAGATGCTGGAAGAGGGAAAGGGAGGACATGGCTATTGATCTAAGGGATAGCGGTAGCACAAGAATCCTCATGATGGAATTGTTCTCTCTCCCAAAAATTACATGGAACTACACACACACACACACCCCTACACATACCTGAATGCTGTAAGACTAGTGAAATTTAATAAGGTCAGTGAATTAAATGGTCAGTCAATTGTGGTGCCGTTATACTGGAGGATGTTAGATTGGGGGAAACTGGGTGAAAGGTACTCGGGATCTCTGTCTTCTTTCTTAGGGCCACATAGGAATCTAGAGTTACCTTAAGTTTTTTTAAAAGTGAAGTTGCTTCTATACAGAAATCTGTTGCATTTCTATACACTTATAACAAAGTAGCAGGAAAAGGAATTGAGAAAACAATCGGTTTACAGTTGCACCAAAAAAGAATAAAATACCTAGGAATAAACTCTAACCAAGGAGATGAAAACCTGTACTCTGAAAACTGTAAGACAGTGATGAAAGAACCTAAAGACACAAACAAATGGAAAGATATTCCATGCTCATAAAGTGGAAGAATTAATATTGTTAAAATGTCCATACAAGCCAAAGCAACCTACAGATTCAGTGCAGTCCCAATCAAATACCAACAACGTTTTTCCCAGAACTCGAACAAATAATACTAAAATTTGTATGGAACCACAAAAGACCCTGAGTAGCCGAAGCAGTCTTGAGAAAGAACAACAAAGCTGGAGGTAACACAATCCTAGATTTCAAGATACACTAGACCACAGAGCTGAAAGAATAAAAACAGTACTGTACAAGCACAAAACTAGACACACAGATCAGTGGAACAGACTAGAGAGCCCAGAAATAAAAATGAAGTTGTTTGATGAGATAGATGTGAGACTGGAACAAAGCAGTTTTCCTAATTGAATGTAAAAATTTGAATTGGTAACCAAAATCAGTGTACTAAGTTTTAAACAGGCATTTGAATATTTCAACTACATCTCTATACATTTAAATAGTCCAAACTTGTTTTTGCAGTTACTTATTGGAAAAATTGGAACTGCCTGATATTAGGGATCATCTTTCCTTTGGGCATAGACAGTGTTTAGGTTTGAGTGTGGGCCCCTCTTCTTTCATAAAGGAAAGCTAGATGTCAGTGTAGTTCTGAGCTTTGTCTAGTTTCCCTTCCAGCTTCCCTAAAGCTCTGAAGGCATATAACATGTCTTTTCTGTTCACCGATATATTCTCTAGGGTTAGTATAGTGTCTGGAACACAATAGCAGCTCAATAAATATTTGGTGAGTCAGTATCCTGTCTTTCCAGATACTCCTGCTGTTTCTTCATGGGTAGGAAGAAGAAAGCTTGTGGGATTTAAATACATGAAAAATCTAAATATCAAAATAAGTGAAAATTACTTAGCAGGTAACTAGAAGCGATAACATGAAGTTAAGAAAAGGAAAAAAATTTTTAGGATATTAAAATCACCTTGTGACTTGAAAATTTTATAAGAGGAGATTCTAGGGAGGAAGTCTTTGCATACACTTATGATCCCTGATCTTTGTCAGCTCCCAATTGAATTGGTAAAAATTCCAAGCATAAATAACACATGATGTTGACTGAGCATATGGGATTAACTGGCACTCTGAATCGCCAGTTTCTTAAGTAGTTTGAAGATATCATTTGTTTATATTTTTTAAAAGATTTGTTTATTTTAGAGAGAGGGAGAGAGAGCAGGGGGATGGGCAGAGGAAGAGGGACGGAGACTCCCAAGCAGACTCCCAGCTAAGCGCAGAGCCTGATGTGGGGCTCGATCTCATAATCCTGAGATCGTGCCTGAGCCGAAATTAAGAGTCAGACACTTAATCAGCTCAGCCACCTAGGTGCCCCTGAAGATATCTTTTAAAATTTCAAAAGTGAGCTTTCAGGAATCTGTCCTACAGAAATGAAAAGCACTAATATGTAAATATAAGCATATTTATTACATCATTGTTTGTATTGACAAAAATGAGAAGCTGGATGTATGCCTACAATCAGGGAAGAGTTGAATGAATTGTTTTACATTGATATCATGGAATATTATACACCTACTAAATATTTATTAACCTGGAAAGATATTCATGATGTATTAAGAGAAAAAAAAGACTGTGATAAGAAGCTCCTTTATTTATAAAAATGTAAATGTGGATGGGAACCTTAAGTACATATGGGTCTTTTTGTGCTGATGGTCATATAGAAAGTGTCAAATGGATGCGCACCCAACTTTTAACATTGGTTACCTCAACTGGCAGCCTGGAGGGCAGAGAAAGAAAGCTGTTGGCTTTTTGACTTAGTACATGTATTATGTAAAAATAAAAAAAAAATATTAAAGGCTTACAAAAATTCTTTTCCTTTGAAAAGTAAAAAGGAGAGTGTGAAATCATGCTGGGCACTATGAAAGGGCTGAAAGAGTATTCATGGAGTGGGACTGTGATTTCCCACAGTAAGGGAGTGGTTCAGGTGACCTGCTATGTGACTCTCCCATTTTATTTTCCTCATTTTCTTTTAATAAAATTTATTTTGGTATTTTCACCTTTTTTGACCATTTTTTTCTTGATTTGCATTATAAAAGTGTGCTTGAGTTTTCTTATAATAAAGAATGTCCTTTTATCTGAATCTTTTCATCTTTCTGATTTATTAATCTGATTGTTCAACTTTCTTTAGCTTGAAGATGATATTATTGTCAAACAGAATTACTTTAACACTATAAAAAATTTTGCACTTCAACTTTCTTCTGAGGAATGGATGATACTAGAGTTCTCCCAGCTGGGCTTCATTGGTAAGAAAAGTGTCAGATTTACCTACTTTTCAGAAATAACTGTGACTCTTGGAATCTTAAATTAGTTTCTTTTACCTTAAAATTGCCTTTTTTCCCTCTGGAAATGGATTGCTTTTGAGGAAATTTATAACTTCTACATATGAAATGATGAAAGTCACCCCAGAATAATATTTGGATACTTCTAGGATTGCAGTACTTACTGTGGAGTACGCGCACATAGCCAGCTATGGTCCTGAGCATATCTGATTTCTTTACTGACCCCTCCAGTTGCTCTTTTATGGCCCAGTGCTTTTGCAGGATCAGGGTTCTTTTAAAAAGAGTGCCACAATAAATGTTTTCTAGTATGAGTTTCTGGTGTTTGGTGTAGTCCTTGAAGTTCCTGTTCAGTGATTAATTCCTATTCATTTGTTGCTTTCATAGACTAGGCAAGGTGCTCATTTAAAAATTTTTTTCCACTAAAATCCCTAAATTCTGCAATTAAGGAGAACATGTTGAAAGTTGAAGAATTGCAGGAAGTTTACAGGTTTTAAAAAACACCCAGAGGATCACATTTAACTTCCTGTAGTACTTTAAAACCTTAAGTATTAGAGGCTGGGCCTTTGACCTTGTTGGGGATCTCAAAACTTAATTTAAGAGTCAAAAACCATCTTTACTTGTGAAGGTTTCGTTGACGACAGCATTAGACTTTGTTTTTTGCATGTATTGATTTGGTTAAATTTTTTTTTTTTTTTTTTTTTTTACCTAAACCTAAAGGAACCTAAAGTTCTTTTTTTTTTTTTTTTAAATGGGAGGAATTTTAATAAGACATGAAGGAAACAAATCTCTGACTTGGTTCTTGAATCCTTTGAGCCAGTAGCTGTGTGATAGATTTTATAATGGAGAAAGTCAGGAGTTTAGTAGTTCTGTGTATACCCAGGTGACAACTCAGAATGTTTAGCTGAAGCAAGTTTGTTTGCTTTTGATAAGACAAGTGGGGGAAGTTATTCCTAATGACTTTTATTTGAAAGCACAAGCTTTTATGTTTTTGTTGTATAGATCTCATTTATTTAAGCCATTTTGTTGCTTGGTTTCTTTATAACAGCTATTGACTGAGAATGTTTTTTTCAGGTAAAATGTTTCAAGCACCAGACCTCACTCTGATTGTGGAATTCATATTTATGTTCTATAAGGAGAAACCCATTGATTGGCTCTTGGACCATATACTCTGGGTAAAAGTCTGCAACCCTGAAAAAGATGCAGTAAGTTGATTTCTTGTGAGGGTGGATGTAGGAGTGCTGACACTCCTCCGGCCCGTCATTTTATTCATGTTCACTCCATGACCTCTCTTGGGGCTACGTGCTCAGGGCTCATGATGATTCATATATATACGTTAGAAATGCCACCTTAGGCTGGGATGGAGAGGGCTTGTTTTGGTCTGCCCTGTATCTGTTAGAGATGATAGAGTCTTTCCCCTTCCTGACACACAGGTGGTACAAGGAGATCTAATTAAAGGTTAGCTGTCAGGTGCATGCAAACCCTTTGATCTCACTACAGGGCCCTTGCTCACTACAGTGTGTCCTTTTGCTCTATAAAATCTGTGGACTAAGGTCCAGACCTTGCTGAGAATAACTGCATGGTTGGATCATCATCCCACCCAATTCCACCCCTCCCCCCAACACACACACACACACACACACACACACACACACACACACCCCCACCCACCATCAGTTACCTTGAATAAAACTCTGTGCTTTCTCAGTTTGAGGGATACTTTACTGTCCCTCCCCTACCTTCTAACGGGAAGAGCCTTCTTTTCTGTATCTCGTGAAAGTGACTTTCAGGGAGCCAGATTTTGTAAATGAACAGTTAAATAGCTGAATGAAAACAGTGTTTTCACTTAACATTTGAAGTGCTTGCTTTCTTGAACTGACAGAAAGTTCCTAAATTAGAGGGACTTTTAAATAACAGTGGAGGGGCACCTAGGTGGCCCAGTCGTTAAGCGTCTGCCTTCGGCTCAGGTCACGGTCCCAGGGTCCTGGGATCGAGCCCCGCATCGGGCTCCCTGCTCCGCGGGAAGCCCGCTTCTCCCTCTCCCACTCCTCCTGCTTGTGTTCCCTGTGCTCTCTCTCTCTGAAATAAATAAATAAAAATCTTTAAAAAAAAAAAAAAAACAGTGGAAAATCCTGTAAATCAGTGAAGTCCACCTTTCTTTAAATTGCTGATAAATGTTAGCTGTGTCTTCAGGCTCTGGTATTTCGTTACTGTGGGCTATCGATGTTCTATCTGTCCTGGGGGTGGGGGTTATTTCAGCTTTCTTCATACTCTCTGTCATCTTTCTTTTTTCAAATCCTTTGGGGACACTATCAGGCCCCAACATATCTGGAAATAAGGACTAAAATAGAAGTAATATTTTATACCAAAACAATGGCAAGTCAAAAAGTACTTTTTAGTATATTACTTGTAAGAAACCAGTGATCATACTAATATGCTGACCTTTGGGGTGATGGTAGCAGGTAAGTAAGCAAATGATGATTTTTTTCTTATGTTATTTCCATAGAAATCTTGTTGTAAAAAGTAATTAGATATGTTTTTCTTGTCCAATTTGAATTGTGCCTCTGGAAAAAAGTATTTATTTTGTGTAAGCATAAATGTGAATACACATTCTTAAAAATAAGTTGTTTTCGACATGTGGTAACAGGAACTCTTTATTATGGGAATGTGTCTTTATAGGGATGACTTAACTCTAACAAACAATTAATTTGACTTCATGACTTATTGTATTATCTAGAATAGTTTGATCATCCTACCTGCCAATTAGTTTTTAGGATACTGCCTTCTGATGTTTGGAAGCTATTGTTACATTCTTTTTTGTTTGTTTTTTTGTTTTTAAAACACTTTCTTAGAGCAAATCATGGAACATAGCCAAATAGCAAAGTAGCTACTTTCCAACAATAACTGAACATATAAATTGATTTGAACAATTCATTTTTATGATGTAAGTCCTGGCCTGTATTTTCTTTGTGATTTATGGGAATTTTTATTGTAGGACATGGGAAAATTCATGTGATCTTTACACTCCTACCGTATATTTGCATTCAGTTGGTCCTGTGCAGTATTTTATCTCCTATAGGGTTAGGTTCTAAAATGAGTCTGGGGGGGTGAGAATTTCTGATAGTAAAAAATAAAACCATTTAAATCATCTATAAATTTTAGCACACAGCCCTTTGGCCAGTTTGACCTACCTATCCTGTCACTGCTCCTTAGGCCATGTTTTTCTGTGGCCCATAATTCTTCAGTTGCTTCCCCTAGGATGTCAGGGAAGCTGTCACCACATACTTGCTGGCCCCCAGAACAATATCTCTTTGACAGTGGTCTGGAAAACCCCTCTGAGCATCACACATTCTTCCACAGGTTTCTCAACCCACTTTGACTCCTCAGACACCCGTGTGTCCATGGCTTATTGAGAGGGCTCAGTCTCAGGCACTGTTCATTCTCTTCTTCCTCTCCGTCCCCCAGCTTCCCTTCCCCCGCATCCCTTGCTCTGCTCCTTTACTCTCCCTTCCTTCCTTTCCCTCGCCTTCCACTTGAGGAGTTCGATTTGTGTAAATAGAATATGTTCTATTACCTCTACTCTAGTGTTAGTAATAACAGTAATGAAGTAAAACCTCTTGAGAAAAATTAAGCATTTTAGTACCCAGAAAATTATTGGAGGCCTTTCCAAGTGGAAATGTCTTACAAATAAAGATACACGAGTATGTCTTTTCAGTACGTTCTTGGCCTACTACTTGTAAAAGTCATTGAAAATGAGAAGAGTTGGTAAAAGCCTGACAGGATAGCTGGGGCTGTCTTGAAGTACCAAGTTCACACACAGGGAGGGCCCTGCTGGCATTATGGGTTCCCTACACCAGGACCAAGCGTGAGGACAGGTTGTAATCTGAAGTCTAGGCCGGGAGGCACTTCATGTGGAAGTACGAGTCTCCCGTATTCAACTGGAGTTGAATTGTGGAACTTGAGATACCATGTACTTGCTTATGGTCGACCTGTTGCCTTGCATTTTCAGATTACTTTAATGCAACAAAATGTGCCTTTTATTATTTGCAAATTCTTCATTATATTATCCGATTAAAGATATTCTGTATATTTGAACCAAACCTCTAGTCTGTAGTGTGTGCATTTTAAAAGTCGAATGTACATTTTGACATATCCTGAAGATGGTTGAAATTAAATCTTCTCTTAGTTGTGCTTATTGTAAATTTCCATATCTGTTTATCTAGTAGATAGCAAATCTCTTAATGTCTTAAAGAAGACCCTAAAAATTATGACTTGGAATTATGAGATGAAGTTGGATTTTCTTTCCAATATTCTTTAAAAGGACTTCTGGAAGGGGCACCTGGGTGGCCCAGTCGGTCAAGCGTCCGACTCTTGGTTTCAGCTCAGGTCATGATCTCAGGGATGGAACCTCACATCATCTTGGTGCGGGGCGTGGAGCCTGCTTAAGATTCTCTCTCTCCCTCTCCCCACCACCACTCTGTCTTTAAAAAGAAAGAAATTAATAAAAGACTTCTGGTTTTTCTGTTGAGGACAAGATTTCACTTTGACACTAATGTGATTTTTTTTTTCAATATTTAGAAACATTGTGATAGACAGAAAGCAAATCTACGAATTCGCTTCAGACCTTCCCTTTTCCAGCATGTTGGTCTGCATTCTTCTCTATCAGGAAAAATTCAGAAACTCACGGTTGGTGATTTAATTTTATTTTTCTCATGCACATACAGTTTGTTATTTACTATATAGTCATTGCTCTTCTTCTTCAGTATAAATAAACTATGGTGTTTAACAGCATACTTGTCTCTCCTCCTAGGATAAAGATTACATGAAACCATTACTTCTTAAAATCCATGTAAACCCACCTGCAGAGATATCTACTTCTTTGAAGGTCTACCAAGGACATACACTGGAGAAAACTTACATGGGGGAGGATTTCTTTTGGGCTATCACCCCAGTAGCCGGAGACTATATCTTGTTCAAATTTGATAAGCCAGTCAATGTAGAAAGGTTGGTGACTGTTGAAATCTATTTGGTCTTGCGATTTTACACCTCTTATTCGTAGTGTGATTTATGATGGATTTTTTTTGTGTATATAACAGATGTGAGGAGACAGTGGGTCCCAAATGTTAGGTTATAAAATACATTTCCTGGGCACCTGGGTGGCTCAGTCGGTTAAGCGACTGCCTTCGGCTCGGGTCATGATCCTGGATTCCCTGGATCGAGTCCCGCATCGGGCTCCCTGCTCGGCAGGGAGTCTGCTTCTCCCTCTGACCCTCCCCCCTCTCATGTGCTCTCTCTCATTCTCTCTCTCAAATAAATAAATAAAATCTTTAAAAAAAAAAATACATTTCCTACAACTCGGTAGTAAAATGGGTATGTTGTTTTCAGATATGATATCAGCCCTTAGCATGTTTGATAAATTCTGTTGGTATTGTTGAACATATATTTAGTATAGTTTTTTTAGTACTTTTAGGTAGAACTCTCCCTCAAAATATAAAATTAGTTTTCATGTCCTTATTCTAGAATATCCCTTGGGATTTGACTGAGAGCTAGTCAGTTACCTAGAAAATTGGCTGAAATGATAAATTTGACAGACTGTGACCATCCCTAGTCAGTGATTTCACAAATGCTGGCTTGCTTTTAGGCCGCCGTGGAAGAATTTATAACCCTTTTGTGTTTTTTAGAATTGATGTTCATTGTACAGAATTTAGGACTCTTTTCTCCCTGTTTTTTTTTTAAGATTTTATTTATTTATTTGTCAGAGAGAGACAGAGCACAAGTAGGGAGAGAGGCAGGCAGAGGGAGAAGCAGGCTCCCCGCTGAGCAAGGAGCCCGATGTGGGACTCGATCCCAGGACCCCGAGATCATGACCTGAGCCGAAGGCAGACGCTTAACCAACTGAGCCACCCAGGTGTCCCATTTCTCCCTGTTTTTTAACAGTCATGATTCCTCCAACCTTTCCTCAGTTTGGGGTGTCTTCCCCAGACTACACCGTCTGGGGTACACTTAAATGTAATCCCCGAACGGGCTACTCTGTAGCCTGTGGCACATTGTGTTATGTGTTCCCGTGTGAGGGCCATCCAGTTTTTAGAACCCACCAAAAATCATTTGGAATAATTCTACTTAAGGTTTTCAGCAACAATGCATGGTTAACATGTTATTAATTTTATTCTCTAAACTGATTCTAAAGAGGAATTTAAGTGTGTAAAAATGTTTCGGGCAATGGGAATATGACTGGAAAAACCTAAAAATACTTTTGCATAATATTTTGCATTTATGAGTATATAATATTTTGTTATTTAATGTTCATTTTTATACCAGATAGTGTGATATTCAGCACTTTGAGGTAGTATTTACCACACTTAAAAGAGTCATCATAGGGGTGCCTAGGTGGCTCAGTCGGTTGAGTGTCTGACTCCTGATCTCAGCTCAGGTATTGATCTCAGGGTCATGGGTTCGGGCCCCGTGTTGGGCTCCATGCTGGGTGTGGAGCCTACATGAAAAAAAAGACTCATCATAAATATCTGAAATGGGGTTAATATCCAAAATATATAAAGAATTTACACAACTCAGCACCAAAAAAGCAAATGATTTGATTAAAAAAATGGGGCAGAGGACCTAAATGGACATTTTTCCAAAGATGACATACAGAGGCCCAACAGATGAATGAAAAGATGGCTCAGCATCAGTAAGCATCAGGGAGATGCAAGTCAAAGCAATGAGATATCACCTTATACCAGTTAGAATGGCTAAAATCAGAAGGACAAGAAATAACAAGTGTTGGTGAGGATGTGGAGAAAGGGCACCCCTCACACACTGCTGGTGGGAATGTAAATTGGTGCAGCCACTGTGGAAAACAGTGTGGAGGTTCCTCAAAAAATTAAAAATGGAACTACAATATGATCCAATTATTGCACTGCTGGGTATTTATCCAAAGCAAAGGAAGACACTCGTTCAAAAAGATACTTGCAGCTCTATGTTTACTGCAGCATTATTTACAGTAGCCAAGATAGGGGGGCAACCCAAGTGTCCATCAGTAGACAAATGGATAAGGAAAATGTGGTATATGTACCCACAAGGGACTATTACACACCCAGATAAAGGATGAGATCCTGCCGTTTGTGACAACATGGATGGACCAAGAGGGTATTAAGCTAAGTGAACTAAGTCAGCCTGAGAAAGACAGATACCATATAATTCCACTCAGGAATCTTAAAACAACCCACAAGTAAAAGAGCCAAGATGTCCATCGACAGATGAATGGATAAAGAAGATGTGGTATATATATACAATGGAATATTCTGCAGCCATCAAAAGGAAGGAGATCTTCATTTGCAACGATGTGGATGGAACTGGAGGGTATTATGCTGAGCGAAATAAGTCAATCAGAGAAAGACATGTATCATATGACCTCACTGATATGAGGAATTCTTAATC